ATATATATTTATAATTATACCAAAAATAATCAAATAATCATGGACGTTTATTAATTAACCCAATAAGGCTTCATCCAAGCCTAAGACCATATCATTTGGTTCAACCTTCCTTACGTCCAAACCCATTAACTTAAATAAATAAAATAATCTAATTAAGTCTAATAATTATAATTAGTTCGCAATAAAATCACACTAGCATAAAAATCACACGTAATCAAATAAGCAACTTAAAACAACCCAATCATGACATTCTCACAAAGCAACCAAAACACTAATTCAGCAAATATAATCACGAAACATAATTTAATAAAAATAAGACTATTAACCATAACACTTAATTAAATCAAACAAATTATTTAAAAATTAAATAAAAGTAATTAATCCAACAAATCATTTAAAAATAAAATAAAAATAATTAATTCCAACTAAATCAAACAAATCATTTAAAAATCAAATAAAAAAAAATTAATCCCACTTAATAAATCTTTTATAAAATATCGGGGTATTACAACGTAGACCTACCAGGGCACCCAGATATCTGCTATATCCAGTTATCCATCCTAGGCAATAAACGCACTATAACCATAATCATGAGACTCAAGCTCATATCATGGTAACATAATCATATATATATAAATCCATCCAAAACCAAGGTATGTCATTCAACTGTTCATTGACCTGATACAAATATAAGTAAGATTTAACTTTTATAGTTAATCCATTCCCTCATTCCAAAATAGGTAGGACTTAACGTTTTGAGCTAATCCGTCCCTAATATGCCACCGTCCCATACCGGTGCATACAATCCACAAATCCAATAATTGATGATTTAATAATAAATTTAAACTTTAATTAATCCATAATAAGTATAATAAAAATATATAAATTAATATGATTATATTATGCCGCTGATACATGATTAAAAACTATATAATCATATATAGAATATTGCTAGTGTAGAGGTAAGCAATTTAAATAATCCATATCAAATAACAATATGCAAATTTATTTAAAACTTCATATTGTTCAAGTTCTTAGCACCATAGCATTAATTATATACATTAATATGCACTATAGGGTTTTAATATGCCTTTAGAAATCATTTAAATTCCCCACAAACGTTCCTAAACCAATCTGTAACCCCAAAAACCAAGCCCAGTAACCAAAAATCCATCAAAACGCACAAATTAGGAAAGGAGCCGCCTCCCCCCCTAGTAAAAAAAAAAAAATTGTAATATATGATTGTTGGAAACTTGGAACAATTAACAATTATAGTAACCATGAAAGTTCCATGTATAAGTGATATGGGAAATGGGAAAAATGAAACCAGTAATAAAAAATAAGATTATGGGCTATGAGGAAAGAGCAATTGATGAGGTAACAAGCTTGTTACAAAACTTTGTAAAGTCAATTAACATTTATGAAATTTGAGCCCCTTCTCATAACAGATAAAAAGCATTCAAGGTGCTAAAATGATATTACTTGTTCTTTAATCTGCACCGGTGGTCTAGTGAATAAATGACCTCCTTCAACGACCATAGACTCGAATGTTTTGAGTCCAACTTGACCTGTCATGATTACTCATTTTTTATTTATTTATTTTATGAAATCTTGAATTTTTTTGCTTTGAAGTAGCAAAAAAATATGCAGCTAAAATGGCCATGTTGTAGTGACCTTCAGAAAATTTTACAAGACTAAAATGATGCCCATATGTTCATAAATTTCAGACATACACGTGCTCAATTCAACGGTACGAGAACCTATAGTTGTGTTTGATTAAGTCATTTTCTTAGAATTTTAAGGCTATGTTTGTTTGACCTAAAATATTCTTTTTTAAAAAATATTTTTTTTTAGATAAAATGTTTTTTTTTTTACTTTGTCGGTGTTTGTAAAAGGTTTATGTTAAGGTTGAGATCGAGTCCATCTGGCGGGACATGTAAAATAACTTGTTAAAAATTTATAAATAAATTATTTTTATTAAATTTTAATTTTTTTTTTTCCTAAATATTTTACGACAACCGAATACCAGAAAATAAAAAAATATTTTTTGAAAAATATTTTACGTCCAAACAAACGGAGTCTAAATGTTTTTTCGAATTTGTTAATGTTGTGTTAGTCGCTCAAATTGATGCTTTAGATTTGAGATTTGAAGAATTTTAGTACAAAGTTTGAATTAAATTTCTTTCCATCTCAAATTTAAAATATCGATTCGTGCTCTCAAACATAACATAAACATTTTTTTACTCCCTAATTCAATACAGGATTTGGAGAGTCATTTCAAGAAAATCTTGGTTTTCTATATAGCTATCATTTTTGTTTAAAGATGAAGAAGTGTTTGGATTGTCCAAAAATTCAGATTTTCAGAAACAAAGGGCAAAGAGCAGCAAGTAGTAACACAAATTTTACAAAAAAACTATGCTTAAAAAAAAAATCAAAATCATTTATGAAAAAGAAAAAGAAAAAGAAAAAATTCAAAACCATAATCAACCTAAAAAATTGCGAAATACCATCAAGGGTAATCAACAAAATCTATTTGTTAATTTGATTATAGATGAATCAAATAATCAAATTTCAGTACACCCATCAAGAGGAAAAAATTACCAGGCAGTCTCAGGAATTAATAATGTTTTATGCAGTTTTGTTCTGAGTTGGATAAAAGGCGGACTCGGTAATGACTGTTTTGGATTTGGTGAGTGGACTCAGGGTTAAACACAGTGAAGCCAGTAATAATCAGGTGTTACAAAGGAGTATACGAAGCCAATGCACCTTATATAATAATGGGGCCTACCACCGTTGACGACCATTAGATTGATGTGCCCAAAAAAATAAAAAAGAAAATTTTGTTGTAGGCTTGTCAGACAACTGTGCGACCATCACAGCCGTCCTAATAAGGCTGAGAACGATCCTCTACCGCTTGATGTATCCTACGAATAGGATTATCGAAGCTGTCAATCACGCTCTGATCGCACGGTCACGATTCATCCACCAAGCTTAAGTTCCTGTCTCCTTAGAAATCAAGGATGCAGAGGTACGATCCTATAGGAAAGATCCTGTTCAAGTAAGGTCGTGCAATGAAGGGTTTGTTTGGTTCTTAATAAACCTCGTTTTTGTTTCCTCCTGTTTCGACGTGGGAACTTAGAAGTAGCAGCCAAGTTTCAATAAACCAACTTTGCCGATGTAAAGGATGATAATACCCTTCAAAAAAAGCTATTGTTATGCGCGCATTGGCCCTTTTAAGTTGGTTATTATTGGCTTTTCAGTACCTGGGATCGTTTGATTAGATCCAAGGACATGTTTAGATTTGGGCATTACAAATTTGGATAGCTTCATTAGATTATTGGTAATATTTTTCAGGTTTCTTTACTACATTTTTTGCAATTTCATACAGTAATTAACATATTTTCATAGGAAATTGTGATTGAATTGGTGTTTTGAGCTGGTATTATTATTGCCCAGAGTATCTTATGGTGAAAAGATGTTCCATTGGGCAATGCTCATAACAAAAAAAGCATCTTATTTTCAATATGAAAAATTAATTTTGTACCCAATTCCACAACCCTAAAATATGAGCCAATGGTGGAATAAATTGCCTTATCTTTTGACTAATGAAAACGGTATATGTAGCCGTGCTCTTTTCGAATTTTCATAAATACAAAATTGTTAGCTAATTAAATTACTTCTGCATAAATATAGTCAAAAATACGTTTGTGATAAGGATGTTCTCGTGGTTTTTTCATGACAAAATTCAGTATATATAGAAAATGGTGAAGCAAATTCGAAGTGAAGTGTAGCAAGGAGAGATGGAATATCGTGATGGTGTAGGCATAAGAATCAAAGAGTAGCAATGACCAGGACATCGAAAGGAAGCTTGATGCAAATGAAGGGGAAGAAGAGTAGGATGAGAGGGTAAAAATTTACCCCGAAAGTTCCCAACTGTTGGGGGTAGCGGTTACAAAATACCCGTGCCAATGAAAACTCTACAATGAATGAGTGGAATCCTTGTGGTATACTTTACTATAGAAATTGTTCGATTCAATCTCCTTGATCTAGATTTAGGGCTTGTTATCTTGAATAAGAGTGGAACTTTGTCAAAGTGCTTATTGTTCAAATCTTCTATCTTTCCTCCACCAAAGATTAAAATAATGAGCTGGAAGATTTAAGTTAACCCATGAAAGTGGGCCTAGGCCGATTGAATGATTTATGTTAGGGCATGGAAGTGGGTTTGGGCCAACTAAATAATTTAGGTTAACTCATAACCCATATTGTGTGGCGGGTCCAATTTGACATGTATAGAGGCCCGACTGTGTTTGAATTTTGATGATATATAAAAGATAAATCTTGATTCTTGACCGGTATAATGATGAACAAGTAGTTACAAAATTTTGTGTCTCGAGGAGGTTGGTTTTATTTATTTTCCTTAACAGTCTATATATATATATATATATATATAGAAAATAAGAAGAGAGAACGCTAATAATGTACATAGTATTAGTTAATTTAATTAGTAAACCATCATTTAATGGAATTTAAGAATATATTAATTAATAATCATTAAATATATGAATTAATGTTAGATAAATTAAAATTTTATCTACTGGGCTACCGTTAAAAAATAAATACTATTAAACAATTTAGAAAAAATCCTAATCCGTTGATCTGATTTGTAAGTCCATGGATCCAATCCGATCCGATACGTTATTCCACGGATCGATGACAAATTAAGAGTTTTTCAATTTATTTGGAGCGAATCGAATTAGGATTGATGCCTAATTTGATGTGTGCACCACCCCTAATAAAATGTAAGACATTCTAATTCGGGGAAGCCATCGTGGTAGTAAAATTACCTTCAACCACGGTCTAAACCACTGGTAGAAAACATACTTTCTATAACGTCGAAGCCCCATTTTTATTGTAGTCATTGAAATGAATTGGATAAGAAAATTTCTAGTTACGGAGAAACAAAGGTACACGAAAAATAAGACACCCATGTAAGCAACCAATTTTTAATAAGGATTTAGCTGCATCCAACAAAACAATTCCTTAAGCAAACTCTTCAATGAAGCAATCATTTATACAGAGACATTTTAACTGAATAAAGCATAAATATTTGATATGGCACATTGTACACACACAGACATACATATCTAAGAACACACACACACACACATATATATATTGTAACTTTTATGGGTTCATCATTGCCGATAGACGTCCGTCAATCACAACTATAGTCGCTTCCAAAGCTTGGCTGCTCCTGCATGTGGTACCCTGCAATATCAAAAAATTCGATTTCAACTGGAGGAGCTGCTTGTTCTTGGGTGAAGACGATGGCGTTGACAGTAGGAAAGGATTGTAAAACCTGATAAAACCAGTACAAGAAGCGATTAAACCGATTGAAAAGTGAAAGGAGAAGGAGAGATGGCTATGATGATAGGATAGGAAATCAAAAAATGCGATGGCAACCCAATTACCACAGCTGCCGAGAAGTCTCCAGCTCGTAAACGAATGGCATCGGTAGCAACTGTAATAGTGAGTGGTAGTTTGATGGAGGTGAGGAGGAAAATCAATATGAGGATGGCAAGAACAATTAATGAGAAGCAATGAGATGATTTTGATGAGTACGGTTGACGTAGGAGGAAGAAGAGGAGGTTCATCAATGGCGGGACAATATATCTAAGGTCTATGTAGCACTGCATCTTTCTCTATCTTTAGTTTATTACTAATTTACGACACCCCGCATATAGACAAGTTTGGATTGCAATATATAGAAAACGTCTGTACAAAGAAAAGTGGCAAATTTTGATACATCATACCGACAAATTTAATAATATTTGGACTTTAGGAAAATGTATGGCAAAAGTGGCATAAAAGTCTAAGTTCAGTGTGTAATAACATCCTTGTGGGGGACAGGGTCTATCTCAATTTTGACATAGTCCAATCCTGTCACTGATGGATTTGGACAATTCATTTTGTTAGTATATATAAAATTGGTGTAATTTTAAATTTTTTTTTTTTTTTTCTAGGAGCACTATTATTTATTGTCAGATAACAGATTACTTATATGAACGTGTGAAACCCTTCACCCACCTAATTGCAAATTGCCTATATTGCTCGACAATATCTCTTGTCAAATATCATAAAAAAAACTGAGTGACACAAACACTGGTCGGCATCGAATTGTGCCCAGCTTGGCTGTCAAATGCGTCTAGTAGGACAGAGTCTGTGTTTTATTTCTCTTAATTAAAAATGATCTTTAATCCATTCAAAACAATTAATTGGAAGATGACACATGATTACATGAAGCATTAAAAAGTCTATAATACTTCAAAAATGTTTTGTAAATACCTCGAAGTATTGTAGACTTTCTCATGTAACACAGACCGAACAAACACCTTTACCAGATAATAAGATTAAATAAAAGGGGTGAAGCTAGGCAAAGGAAAACCAAATTAAAGAACACAATCTACAAATTTAGCAACCATGCATGCAGAAGACCAGAATCTATGTAATACAAAAACAATTATATATATAATACTACACAACTTCAAGGCCTTGTGGTGCAAGTTCATCATCACCTTCTGGAATTGGCTCTTCCATTCGGAGATGACCATGCAGTAGTACCGGCCTATCAATCACTACTTGACCATGCAGTAGTACTGGCCTATCAATCACTACACAGCTTCAAGCTGGCCTTGTGGTGCAACTTCATCATCACGTTCTTCCATCTCTTCTATTCGGAGATGACCATGCAGTAGTACTGGTGAAGGAGCAGAAAGTCCGTTTCTTGCATCTTCAACTGGTCTATCAATCACTACTTGAACGCGATCAGGTTGGGGCCCAGGGATTTCGTGGCTATCCAACACCGGTCTTCCGTTGATAAAAATGTCATACACCGGGATTAACATCCTTGAAAATTGCTTAAAAACATTCAAGAACCAACGTCGGAAGCAAAAAGAAAGGACGATAATGGAAGGATAAGCGCACCAAAAGAGTGCTTGCGGAAAAATGATGGAGGCTATCAATAAGGCCATGAAGGTGTAAGAGAAGACACCGATTCGTACACGCAGGACCTCGCGGTTACCATTGCCATGAGGACTAGACTGACTAGCAGTAGTAATGGAGAGCTCCAAGGAGACGAAGGAAAAGAGCACGAGGACAAGGGCAAGAAGGTAAATTTTGGAAAAAGTGATATGGCCATGGATAACCAAGTGAAATGGATCCCAATCTTTGGGCATACCTGCATGGGTTTTTAAGACATTGATCGCAAATGGCGCAGAGTACCTTAAGTCTATGTAGTAAGACATTATCGTTTACACTTTTTTTGTTTCGTTTTGTGGGCATTCTTGGAGACCGCATGGCGGCATATATATACTGGTCGGATCTCATTACTTATATCAATTATTCAAGCCGGTTCTTCACCTTCACACGCACGGCATGGAAAAAATATACCATGTAATCCCAATCAATTAAAAAATGACACGTAGTCCCACAGCCACTTCTTCGATGCTTCATTTAACTAAATAAAATAAGGATTGGTAAGGATCAATCACTCTCTACATACATTATAGAAAGTCTTGGTTTTGAGATTCAAAGCTCCTCTTTTGTTGGGTTCCTCTAAATTGATGACTTTATGGATACTTTCTAATAAAATAAATAAATAAATAATAAATTGATATATATACAAGCTTTGATTTAAATTGTGAATAAATTCCTAGTTCAGACGGTATGTTATTTTCTGTTATTTTTAAGGGGACATGTAGGACATGTAATTAATGTATTGTTTTCTTATACTATAAATATGTATAATTATCAAGTTTGATTTTTTTTTTTAAACAAAAAGACAATGATGAAAAAAAAAATTTATTTGCTTTAATTTTTTTAAAAAACAACTAATTTAGGACATTTAAAAAATAAAATAATGCCTATTAATATGGGATAGAAATTGAATTCTAAAAATTGGTACATATTCAATCTAAACAAGCTCCTTAGGAGAAATGCTTGTGGAGATCGAAGACAGACTTTGAGCGGGTAATAAGTTGTTAAATTATATAATATTTTAAAAGTTGTCACTTGATAAATACATGGATCGTTTCGTTACAACAAACAAACAGATTCGGAATAATATGATAAACTTTTAGAAAGTCATAAAATTTTGAAAGAGTTTTTTTTTATTATTATTTTTATTTTTAACATAGAAATTTAATGATTTTAGTTGGTAGTGATTTAAAATTCGTTTTGAACACTAATAAATAGAATCCCAAAAAAAATTCAATTCCCAATATTACCATTGCTTTTCTTTTCTGGTATAAGAGCCACCGTCTGAGATGTGATAAAACCTATACAAATGTGATACCTACTTCTTCACCTTCATTCCAAAATGAAAGACAATGTCTATATATACTCTTTAGTCGGTAACACTAAATTTTTTTTTTTTTTTCAACGGAAAATGCATTTTCATAACTTCAAATTTCGGTGCCGGTCTAGGAGACCAAGGATCCACTATGCTATATATATATATCACATATAACTATTATATACTCGTATTTATATATAAGCAGGGTGGGTTCCGTACCAATCATTTTTTTATTCCGGACCCTTAGAGCATCTCCATTGGGCTGTCAATTCAAAATATAGCAGATAGGCTTAAAAACAGGCTCTCCAATGCAATGTTATTTCTTATGTCAATTGTAGCACAAGAAATAGCAGTAGCTGTTTCACAGAGAGAGAGAGAGAGAGAGAGAGAGAGAGAGAGAGAGAAGCTATTCCAGAGAGAGGAAGCTATTCAGATATATATATATATATATATATATATATATATATATATATTAAAAAAAAAAAAGAATTACACCAAATAGGATTTATTTTAAAAAACAAGAATTACAGACCTTGATTATAGACCTTCGTCATAAAATAGAATTACAGAAAAAAAATTAAAACAAAACCCATAAAATAGAATTACAGACCTTCATAAAAACTGAATTATAGAAAAAAAAATTAAAACAAAACCCATACATACATGAGGGGATATGGTGCCATGGAGTTCAAAAATCAAATAATAAAGCAAAGAAAAAATTTGAGATACTGATGTAATATATATTATATACACACAGACACATGCATATAGAGAGATAGAGGACCTGGATGGTGTTGTTGGAACCATTATAGTTCTGATCAACAGTCTTCAACCATCCAACATTATCGTGCGTGTGAGGAACCAAATGAACATTGAGTTTCCCAGGAACAATGTCTGGTTTTGATCTAGTGTCTGGCTTGCGAACGGCAAACCTGAACTGGAATAGCGGGCGATGGAAAATGAAAGATATAGGTTTTGAACTTCTGATTCTTGTTGATTTTGTAGTTTACAGTTGCAGAGAGAGGGAGGGGGGGGGGGGGGGGGGGGCAATTTCAGAGTTGAGAATGAGAATAGAGATGGAGGCGATTGGGGAGGCTGAAATGATTTGCCCTAAATATATATATATAATAATAATAATAATAATAATAATATAATTAAATATATATAATATATATATAAATTTACGAAAAAAAAAAATTATATAAAAAAAATTTATATAAAAATATAATCAAATTTATAAATTTATACATACATACATATATATATACATATATATATATATATATATATATATATATATATTTTGGTCCTTTTATGACTAGATATTTTAGATATTTGATTCTTTTTAATTAAGTTTAATTTTAGTTTCCTTCTAATGTCTACAACTTGACTTGGAATGTGCCTAATATTAATATTACTGATGCAAATATGAATGGTGGGAATAGTAGTTGAAAAAGAATAGTGGTTTTGTCAAAAAATAGCATTTTGCATAAAATGTATCATTGGAGCAGAATTGTTAAAATATAGCATTTGACACTGTAACACTGTCAAAATATAAATTTGGCATCCGAATTTAGCATTTTACCATTAAAGATGCTCTTATGCAGATAAAAGTCTTGATTTTTAACATTCAAAGGTAGGTCCCGTACCTGTCATTTTTCTATTTTGGACCCCCACATATAGGGGTGCACAAGGTTCTTGTGATACCCCTCAATTCTAGAGCCACGGGTGATCAAGTCCGAGCACAGAATACAAGGGATATCAAACAATTAATATTTAAACAAGTATTTGAATACAAAAAGAATAATAAAGAATAAATAAATAATAAGCTGAAAGAAACTAAATAATAAATCCCTATTTTAAAATCCTCAAATAAATAATAATTAAAAATTCAATAATAAAATCCTCCAATCTTCGGATACTAGTAATTAATTAAACTACAACTCGGGAATCCATCCTGTGGACACCTAATAATATCCTAACTGAAATAACTGAACCGAAATAAAAATAATAAGTAACTAATGAAGACGAGTCTTACGTAGAGTCGGAAGAGTGAATGACTGTCTCTACTCGGCACGAACAATCTTTAAGACTGGAACTGACGAACACCTGAAAAATAATGGTAGGTCAAGCTCACAAACAAGTTCTAATCTACTACATCCCAAACAGAGACCCGATACACGTACACATCCTAATTAATTCAACAATAACTAAATAGTCCATATGTAGATATATACATACTAAAGGAACCTCACTAGACTATAAAGTTGTCTCAACATGAATAGTAGGCAACATGCAAAACGCACATATAGTAGGCATGAGTACCTAGACGTACCAGGGTACACAATTACGCTATATCTAGCTACACATCCCTGGCGATA